GGTTGACTTTTTTTTTAACAAGTGCTTCCAGTATTTTTGTTGAAACCATCTGGCAACTCTACCAGGCACTGCGAAATAGCTGCTTACTGGGACAAACGTCCTCTCCCTCCTCCTGGGCTCCCCCGAACCCAGAGCACTCCCAAAATTCCAGGAGATAAAGTTTTGTATTCCTGTAATTTTGAGAGTGTTTGGGGTCATTTTGAATATCCCTGAGCCAACCTGATACAGTAGCTTCTTTCAGCTATGGAATATCCAAATGTACATCCCTAGTCTGTAATTAATCTCAACAGCCTGCTTTGGAAGAGCCCGCTACCACCACTGTCTTCTCATGGTGGGAGACTGCTGGGCATTAAGCCTGGGACCTTCTGCATGTGAAAGCAGAGGCTCTTCCATATAGGCCACGCCCCCTCCCTTCTGCCTGCCCTGCTGATGGACACTGAAGGAGAAGGGGATAGTGGTGGAGCACTGGCAGGGTTTCCAGCTCTGGGCTGGAAAATACCTGGAGACTTTGGGGGTGGAGCCAGGAGAGGGAGGGGTTTGGGGAGGGGAGGGGCCTCAGCATGATACAATGCCATAGAGTCCACCCTCCAAAACAGCCATTTTCTCCAGGGGAGCTGATCTCTGTCAGCTGGGGATCAGTTGTAAAAGCGGGAAATCTCCAGGCCCCACCTGGAGGCTGGCAACCCTAACTGGAGGCATTGAGCTGAGTGCACACAACTCATCTTGGTTATAAAAGTAATGCAAAGGGGAGAAGCGGCAGATGCCTCCTGATCCTGTCCTTCAAATCCTTCTCCAGGTCATTTTAAGGGATCTCTCTTGAAACCGGAAGCCCAGCTGGGGCAGTGCAGAAGGGGTGAGTCAGCAGTCAGGGAGGTCTTAATTATCCCTCTCTCCTGTCTAGCACCTCAATAGGCCATTCTGGGGAAGAGGCACCACTCCTACGCCCCACCATTCACCATTCATTTGTAGCAGCAAACGTGGGTTTCAAGAACAAGCACGTACAACATGGGTGTGCCTACCGCACTCCCTTTGCATGTCGTGGCTCTCCCAGGGTTCTCTCTGGATGCCCAACCTTCACAAGTGTCTTGTTGGAGATGGGGGGTGGGCTGGGAAGAAAGGGTGGGAAATCCCTGGTGCGTGCACAGAAAACTCTCATATTTTAGTAGCTGATCCTGGATTTTGCAGAATTTCTATGTTAGGTGTAACCTCAGGTCCTGTCTTGCTGAAATACCAGGCTACATTTCCTCATTTCATAACTGCTCTTTATTTTGTGCAATGCTAGCAGTGTATATTAAGTTTCTTAAAAATATGCAATACTGGCATCCATTTTACTCAGAAGTCATTTTCTATTTATGTCGTTTAACCGACAAACCTGCCGCTGGTATAGATAGACACCCCTTAGCATCTAATGAAGTGGGCTCTCTTTGAAACTGTCATTTTTGTACCATCTCTGGCCTAGATGCAGGTCTTGAGTACTCTCAAATGTGCTTGTTTCTGAATGGCCTTGACATTTCTTACCTTTCAGATTAACTCCTCTTGGCATCAAACCAGTCAGCTCCATTGTAGGAATCTCATCTTCTTCTGCGTTGGACACATTGGACGGGATGGCTCGTCGCCCACTCAGACCAGCATAGCAGGAATCTGTTTCTTCTTCTCTTTCTCAGTAGCTGTTGGTTCAGTCATTGTGGATCTCTCACTGATCTTCTCTTCAGAGGCAAAAAGTGGGGAATGAAAGGAAAGGAAATAACAGTGAGTCAGACCTCTTATCTTCACAGTGCCATCCTAAACGGAGTTGCACCCATCGGAAGCTCATTGACATCAGTGGACTTTGAATGGCATCCCTCTGCTTAGGACGGCACTTATACGTGAGTTCTGTTGGCGAACTAAAATTTTAGTCTTAACAATATAGAAAAACAGTCAGCGTTTCAATGATAGAATTACAACCACATTCTCCTTAGGTTGCAAATGCGGGGGGGGGGGGGGTGGAGAGGTGTCCAACAACATTGCTAGAAATGGGAAATTTAGGAGTTCAAAGGTTTTAGAAAAAGGAGGAATAGTGCAATCTTAGACATAGTTCCTCAGAAGTAAGTCCCGTTGCACCAAATTGGTTTTACAAGCAAGGATAGGATTGCAACTAACTTGCATAGATATCACACACAGTTTCCCACAGAGAAATACAACCTCTCCCCCCACCACACTGGACACACAACATTATAAGAAAAACAAGGTCCTGCTCATATTACTCACTCATTCAAAGACACCCCCCCCACACACACACACACACCCCTTACTGGATCAAGGGGGAGTAGAGTCGGGAAGGGTGGTTTTTTTTGGAAATTCCTCTAAAAACAGTTGCATCCTGTGCTCAAAATGCCTCTTGTAAAACAGTTCAGCTCGCACCCCAAACCAGCCTTACAAAGCATGACAATTCCCCTCACAACATTAGGCAGTCAGGCAGCCAACAGTGAGATACCTTCTGTGCAGATACAGTTTCTCTGGTTTCTCCTCAGTTTCACACCCACAGCGAAGTCTGGATAAAGATAGGCTTGAGCCCTTGCTATATATGGCCTCTGTCACCACCACCCTCTTCCTCCCCCTCCTCCCCTTGTCGACGCCCCGTAACAGGACAGTTACCGTCAAACAGTAGAAAACAGCTGTGGAGTTCTGCTCTGTTCTTCCTCTCTTGTTCCTACTCTCCCCACAGAGAGAATCTTCAGAATTGGGAAATCCTTTCGCTTCTTGTCCTGAAAGGAAATTATTACCAAGCTTGCAAAGGTGTGCCAGGAAAGTCAATGGCAGAGCCTTGCAAAGTACAAAGGACAATGCCATGGACTACCTGAGCCATTACAACACTTTGTACATCCCTGATGGCTGAAGGGTAGGATTGCCAACTTCCAGGTGGTGGCTGGAGATCTACTGGGATTACAACTGATAATCCAGGCGACAGAGATTAGTTTACCTGTAGAAAATGGCCGCTTTGGAAGATGGACTTTATGGCGTTATACCCCACTGAAGTCCTTCTCCTGCCCAAACCCTGCCCCCCCAAAACCTCCAGGTGTTTCCCGACCTGGAACTGGCAACCTCACTGAACCCAGGAGTATGCAACAGGACAAAGGCATATTGTCATAGGAGTGCCAACTTCATCCTGGGAAATTCCTGGAGATTTGCGGATGGTGTCGTGGGGGGAAGAATTTGGGGAGGGGTTTTGCCTATGGTATACCATAGAATTTGCCCTCTGAAATTGCCATTTTATCCAGGGAAACTGATCTCTGTACTCTGGAAATCAGTGTAATTCCCGGAGAACTCCAAGCCCCACCTGGGGGTTGCCAACCCTACTTATTGAGAATGGGGGAAGACTCTGGAAACAGAATGATTACGGCACAATGTTCTGTGGATGCTCCAAAAATAAAAGTGCTACAGTCTGGAGACCAAGGTCAAGAAAAGCCTCTCGCGTGGAAGCAGCCTTGGACACACAGAATACAAAAAGCAAAATAATTATACACACATTTTCAAGGGAGATCAGAGCTACAAGAACCTGGTGAATGAATGTATGCCTGCGGAAACATGAAGGCAGTCTTGATATGGCAACCAGCTTCCTGAATGGAAATACAGAGCTAAAACTGGTAATGTGCAAATATTCAAAATCCAAGAAATGTTCTCACAATGCGAGTTTTGAGTGGTGAATTTAAAACCCTAAATTCAAATGTGCCTTTTGAATGTGATCGTCTTTGTTTTCATTCCCTATGGATTTCTGGGGGGAGACCCGGACAACTTTCTCCAGCCTGCAGTAGAGTTTGGCATCCAAACGGCCCTGACATTTTCAAAGTTTCTGCTACTTCTTTCAGAGACCACAAGCACCAGGTTTCAGACAGAGAGAAGACAATTAGGGATGGGATCAAACCAGGATAATGCAGTTTGGTTCCGTTCGTGGTTCATGGCATACCCGGTTCAGGAACCATGAACCATCATGAGCTTTTAGCTGCCAAGTGAACCAGTTCAGTTTGTGAGGTTTGTGATGTGGTAGAATGGCCCCTTGGCATGCTAGAGACACCAAATCCACAGGGGGTCTCTGGCTGACGCTCCTCTACCTGCCCTCCAAGTTTGGTGAGGATTGGATTTACGGGGTCCAAGTTATGCCCCCCCAAAGAAGGTGCCCTCAGGAAAATGCTTTCTGGGGAAATGACAAGGGCCGATTTCAGACTGGCAGTTTGCCCAGATATAGGCACGAGCCAGAAACATTTCACAACTGGATTAAAGGGACCGTTCACACAGGCACATCTGTAATGTATTCAGATGCTGCCATGAGTACATTAGGATGTGTGTGAAACATCCCATTGGGAAGCTATGTTAAGCTTCGTCTTGGACAGGGATTGTAGCCCAATCACATTCAAGCAAGCTGGAAGCGGGAACGTGTGTGATTGGTCCTTATGCGATCAACCTGATAGGTTGTTATCTGTAAAGTAGGAGTGGCTATATTAGCCGGGAATGTTAAATACCGAGCAGTTTCGATGGGCAAACTGTTCGGGCTATCAGATGTTGTACCGTGTTGGAGAAGTGATCGTGAAGAAGAATAAACTTGAGTTTTGGCTGAAATCACTCTCTGACTCTTTGTTAAGCTCAGGACTTAACAACATCTGTCCGGCATTCCCCAGCCATACTCAACCCGTCTCCTAACGCTTCCCTCCCGAGTTTAAAAGATACCAGGTGAAAGTGGTATCAAACCCTGGAAAGCATGATTATCCCGTGTCCATCCCGCACCAACAAAGTGTGAATGTCAAAAGCCATGTTTTCTTGTGCACGCCAAATAGAAAGCCACGCCTTATAGCCACGCCTTACAGCCAGGGCGGGCCAACAGTGTGAACGCTCCCTCGCGCCTCCTCCTGGTATGCTCCCATGTCAGTCGCTGCAGTGTGAACGGGAAAACCCGGAACAGTTTGTTCCAGCTCTTTTTTGCCACGACTCCCTCCCGCTTCAAACTGCCAGTCTGAACTTGGCCAAGGTGCAGGTTCAGGAGTGTACAGAATGGGTCCTGTGCAAGCTAGAGGCATCAAAGTCACAGGGGACCTCCCACAGATGATCTTCTACATGCCCTCTGGGTTCTGCCCCCCTTATTGTTTTGACATTTGATAAACATTTAGATTAAGTGGAGACAGTCAGTCTGGAAATGTATCTGTTCATAAACCACCACAAACTGCCATGAACAGCTTGAAAGTTCATGCTGGTTTACCTGCCAGAAATTTCCCTTTGCGAACCACAAAGCGGCCAAAATTCATCATGAACCTTAGTTTGTGAGCTGGTTCATGCCTATTCCTAAAGACAAAAGTTGCCTATTTTAGAGACCGTTTTCTTTTTCTTAAAGGAGGTCCTATAGGGTTCCCGTTGATCTCAGTGAGAGGCCAGCCAGCATTCTCCTGACTGTAGAGTTCACCTCATTTATTTATTTATTTGTCACTCGTTACTTCATTGGAATGATTGTCAAATATTTCCTTACAGTTGCCTGAAGAGCCTTCCAGTCTGTCAGTTAATGCTCTCACTCCCCCCCCGCCACCACTTCATAACCTTCCTGTGAACTCTACATGCTGACCTAGCTAGTATGTCCATTGCACAATGCCTCCATTGCATTTCTTTACATTGCCGATATAAATCAATGGGTGTGGGGGATGAGAGTTTCTCATTCATTTTGATTTTCCCAGTCAAGTTAAGACATACTATTGGATTACAGATGTGACAGAGATTATGGATCTCAATGAGTCTGCTCTTCCCTGTAGAAGGGAAGCCCCAATCAGACTGTTGAGTGAAGGTTGAAGGGCAGGATAGCCAACATCGGATTGGGAAATATCTGGAGATTTTGGGGGTGGAACCTGAGGAAGGCATACTTTGGGGAGGGGAGAGATGCCAATGGTGTATAATGCCATAGAGTCCACCTTCCAAAGCAGCCATTTTCTCCAGGTGAACTGATCTCTCTAGCCTGGAGATCACTTGTAATCCCAGAAGATCTCCAGCCAGCACCTGGAGGATGGCAACCCTATAGAGTTAACGACAGACCTCCTTACATTTCTGCAAAGGCCCTATTCCAAATTGTAGCTGCATGCGTCAACAATATACCACGAACCCATCCACAATCTCCATTGCATCTCCTCAGGTCGTTAGGTGGATACAAGATCTGATTCAGTACGTGGCAACTTCATAGACTGGAATACAAGCATTGTGGCTTTATAACCTTACAAGAAGGAAAGGGCTGCAGTGTAAAGCCTCCTTCATGAGCACCTTTGAGTCTTTGTATTGAATTATTATGGTATAAATCCTATAAATGTCATTGACATCATGCAAATTAACAATTATTTTTTATATAAATGTAAGGACTGTCCCAAATCTAATAACAAGTTATAAAGTAGCAAAGAGGTTTGAGGTCAAAATATTCTGCTATAGATAATAATTGTTTCATCCTTGCTCATTATAAATCCAGCCAACTTCCCTGCTGACAGAAAGGGGAGAAAGGGTCCCCTCTGACCACACAACAAGGTTATACTGAAGATCATGGGACCATCATGGACTAAAGCCATGAGAGGCAAGAACTGTAGTAAGGAGGAGAGTTGGGGGAGATTGAGTGGGAAAGCTG